TTTGACTCAGGCTAACTTCAGGTTAACTACAGGTTTGATTCAGGCTAACTTCAGGTTAACTTCAGGTTTGATTCAGGTTAACTTCAGGTTTGATTCAGAGTTTTCAGTCCCATGAAGCTCGTTCCCTTGTTARCYGGTAAATCACCATGGTAACATGTTTACCAGCTGACCTGCTCCATGTTAAGTTGGAGATAAGAGATCAAACAGTGTAAAGCTCCGCCCACTGACCACTCCCTTTCTTTGAACCATGACATCATGTTGTTATCGTGGAGCTGCTGTGGATCGTTCCAGTCTCTGAGGAGGACCAGGGTCTTCAGAGACCCACAAGATCCTCTGAGATCCTCTGAGGAGTTTCTGAAAGATCTAGATTCTCCTCAGAGGATGAACCTTTGTCAGCTGCTGGAGCTTCAACAGAACCAACCTGACCCGTAGCAGCAAAGTACTCACAGTACCACAGACTGTCTACATGTACTTCCATACTGATACTGATGTACTGTGTTAGCGGAGGAGAACCACACATACTTTAGTACTTTGAACCTTTAAGTAGCTTCATCCTGTGAAATAAAATATCTAATATACCTTGTGACAGCCCCCCCACCCCTAAAATGACAGAAACCATCTTTGACTCAAATTTATTTAACATCAACTTGCATCTGGTTCATCCACTTCTATAAATAACAACAAGCTGTCCGTCAATTCCGACTTTAACTTTATTATCATACATTGAAAAAATATAAAGGAAATAACCTGAAACACAGAGTGAGAGAGAAACTAGAGCTGAAGCTCAATCAGGATCAATAACATGTTTCATTGACATGATGTCATCAATATGAGATCAATAATCATGTTATAAACATGTTTTGTGAGGCGTTGAGAACAAAGTGCCCCCTGCTGGACATGTTCTAACTTCAGACACACTCCGAGCCTCTGATCACTTCCTGTCACACCTGTAACCTGCTGTTGATCTGGATCACACCTGATCCAGATCCGTGTCTTCACACCATCCCGCTCCACTGTAACGACGTGTACCGCACCGCTCCGTCCGTCCCCGGCGAGCACAGCAGCACCGTCTTCTTCACGTTGGATCCCAGACGAGCCACGGCAAGGACGTCCAACACGCAGAGGGACTCATCCAGAGACAGACAGATGGCGATGAAGTGGGCGTGGAAACGAAGAGGGTCACCTGAGGTCAGGACGAGAAGAGGAGGGGATGATCATGGAAACATTGTCCCCCACCACGTCGTCCATCAGGACAATTTAAAGACAGAGTCTGACCTGGATAAACGAGGAAGTCGCCTCCAAACTTCCCTGCCGAGGTCAGGTAGAAGCCCCGCCCCCTCAAGTCTCTGAACACCTGGTACCTGACGTCACCGCGTGTGCCACGCTGCGCCCTGATTGGCCAGTCAGCCCGCAGGACGGCCCGATCCACTGGGCAGTAGGTCAACCCCGCCCTCGATGTGCTCAGCTGCACCGCCAGCGCTGCCCAAGGGAAGGTAAAGCTGTGGTCCAGGGCCTCCAGGCGGCCCCGCAGGGCCTCATCTGAGGTCCCAGGTCCAGAGTCTGAATCTGAGGATCCAAAACCAGACAATCAGGTTCTTATATATCCTCACACATACTGTATATACCAGTATATGCTGTATCATGTATATATAGTGTACACAACATTATATCCATACACCTTTAAGAGAAGATTATCTGTCTGGTTCTCTCTGAGCAGAACCACGGTCAGGTTCTAGATAAAGGACCAACAGAACATTGTGTCCTCGCTCAGAGACGTTCATATCTAACTCACACGCTCAGACAGACCAACGTCAACTCTTGTGTATCTCACCGGTGTCCAGACGTAGACTGAACCGTCCCAGAGGACGTGAACACCGACATGGAGACAGAAATTCTAACCATTGATGTGCTGAATGGGTGAGGCAGGGTGAGGCAGGGTGAGGGGGATATATGGGGAGGCTGTGGGAGACATCTTCAGACTTGGGGGGGGGGTGTATATTGTTGCCCCTTCTGTTGTCCTTGATGCATCAAGTCTACATTAACATCAGCTGCTGCCTGAGTTCTTTCACCAGCTTCCAGAAAACCTCCAGCAGTACTGACCTGCATCAGGTGACAGGTCGTCAGGGTAACGCTCACCTGTGTGTGATGAGGTCATTGCTCGGAGCAATGCTGACTTCCTGTCCTCCAGAGCGAGGACGCTCTGCACCTCATAGCTCCTCCTCTGTTCCTCCTCGTGCTGCTCCGCCTGTCGACAGAGATCCACCCCTCCTCCGTCCTGCTGAGGCAGCTACAAACACCCTGATGGTTACCAGCTGGTTAACTCTTCCGGTTGACTGACTTGGTAAGCGGCAGGTCAACAAACCTGGTTACCGGAGGGTAACGCGGCGGCACCGTGCTGCTCGCTCAGCTGTCTCTCCTCCTCTGGCAGCAGTCGGAGGGGTCGTCCCAGTCGTCCGTTCTGTCGGGGCGTCCGGGGCAGTGAACCCAGCAGCGCCCCCACCAGGCCATGTCTCCTCAACGTCTTCAGGTCCTCTATCCTCCACAGCAGGGGGGCGGAGTCACACACACCCACACCGATCACGTCACAGGCAGACGAGTCCTCCTCCTGTCTGTAGGGGGCGTCGTCCATCACCACCACCTGTTCCAATCATCAATATTTATAATTACTTTACACACAGAGAGACACACAGAGAGAGAGACACAGAGAGACAGAGACACACAGAGACAGAGACACACAGAGAGACACACAGAGAGAGACACACAGAGAGAGAGACAGAGACACACA